ATTAAATGTAAGGAAAGTTAAAAAAATAAAAGCCAGGAGATTAGCAATGGCAATTTTAAATAGGGCAGCATGGGACTATCTCACCATGAAGGTAACATCGAGCTGATATCTGGAGAAAGAATATTGCAGGCAGAGAGAAGTGCAAGTGCAAAGGCCCCGAGGAGAGAACATTCATGGGTGTTTAAAGAGCAGCAAAGAACTAAGATGCTGAAGCAGAGTGATTGAGAGGAAGAGATGTAGGTACAGGATGAGACCAGAGAGGCACCAGGTCCCAAATCATAGAAGGCCTTAAGCTACTTGTGAAGACACGATATTTACTCTAAATAAAACAGAACGCCACTAGGGGAGGGTGAGCATGGACTTGCAAGGGTTAGGGTTAGGATGAGGATATGATTTACATTTCAGTAGGATCATTCTGTGGTATAAAGAATAAACATGTGCGGGTGGGGAGAGAAGGAGGCATACCATTAAAATATCAGTGTTCCAATGTGGGCTTATTAAAGTAACTATAGTTGCTCTATATCATAGGAAAAATAAATAAATACAGAAACACTTGTTAACAAGACACTGCTCCTTTTTGGGCTTTAGCTTGATGATGCCAAGTTTTGAGGAAGAGTACATTGTGGAAATATAACACCTTAGAAGTGATCTCAGAAAGTACAAGGTTGGTAGTGACTGGCCGTGAACAGCACAAGAAAAGTTAATCTGAAGTAAAACTGAGTTAACCTTTGTGGAGCTGCATCTGACTCTCACATCAAGCCCGGCCTGGAGAGCATGTGTTTTTCTACTCTTCCCTCTGTACTATTAGCCTGAGATCATCAAGTAATAACAGGTGTTAAGAAAGGGAATATATGCTTACTTGTTTTATCCTCAATCACAGTGAAGTCTGCATGAAAGTATCAGATAAATTAAGGCCTACTAACAACTATAAAAAATGAACACTTTCTATTGTCAGCATATTTTCTGGTTGTGTGTCTGTATGTGTATATTTTACTACTTGAGATGCTCATTATTTCTAGATAATAGCTGCAAATATGGACCTCACTGCCATTGCAGGCTTTGCCTCTAGTGTCCAACACCACAGCCTCATATTAGGCCCACCAAGATCCTTTTTAAAAAAAAAAAAAAATTTATTGTAAAAACAAAGACACATAACATGAGATCTACCCTCTTAAAATTTTAAGTGTACAGTACATTACTGTTAGCTATAAGCACAATGTTGTATGGAAAAACTCTAGAATTTATTCATCTTGCATGACTAAAACTTGATACACATTGAGCAGCAACTCCCCATTTCTACCCCACCCTGTTCCTGGAAACCACCTTCAAACTTCCTGCTTTTATGAGTTTGACTGCTGTAGATTCCTCATATAAGTGGAGTCACGCGGTATTTGTCCATCTGTGACTGACTAACTTCACTTGGCATAACGTCCTCAAGGTTCATCCATGGCATAGTGTATGACAGGATTTCCTGCATTTAAGGCTGAATAACATTACATTGTATGTATATATCACATTTGCCTTATCCGCTCATCCATTCATGGACATTTAGATTGTTTCCACATCTTGATTGTTGTGACTAGTGCATCAGTGAACACAGGAGTGCAAATATCTCTTTGACATACTGATCTCAATTTTTTAGATAAACACCCAGAAGCTGAATTGGTAGATTGTACGATAGTTCTATTTTAAATTTTTTGAGGGAGCTCCATACTGGTTCCCATAGCAGCTGCATCACTGTACAGTCTCACCATCAGTGTACAAAGATTCTAATTATTCCACATCCTTGCCAACATTTTTTTAAATAATGGCCATCCTAATAAGAATGAGGCAATATCGTGGTTTTTATTTGCATTTTCCTTGATGATAGTGACGTTGAGCTCCTTTTCATATACTTGTTGTCCATTCGTGTGTCTTCTTTGGAGAAATGTCAATTTCTTTAACTGGATTTTTTAATTGTGGAGGTTTTAATTGGGTTCTTGGAGGGGGGGATTATTGAGTTTTCTTTGCTGTGCAGAAGGTTTTTTTTTTCTTGTAGTCTCATTTGCCTATTTTTGTTGCCTGTGCTTGTCCATGGATGGGAAGACTTATTATTGTTAAAATGTGCATACTGCCCAAAGCTATCTACAGATTCAGTGCAATCCTCATCAAAATCCCAATGGCATTTTTAACTAAAATAGAAAAGCTAAAATTCATAAGGAACCACAAAGGACCCTGAATAGCCAAAACAATCTTGAAAAAGAACAAAGCTGGAGTCCTCACACTTCCTGACTTCAAAATATATTACTAAGTTATATTAATCAAAACAGTGTAGTACTGGCATAAAGACATATAGACCAATGGAACAGAATAGAGAGCCTAGAAATAAACCCATACATAAATGGTTAACTAATATTTGACAAGGGTGCCAAGAATACACAATGGAGAAAGGAAAATTTCTTCAACAAATGGTGCTGGGAAAACTGGATATTCACATGCAAAATAATAAAATTGAACCTTTATCTTACAACATACACAAAAATCAACTCAACAGACTTAAATGTAAGACATGAACCTGTAAAACTCTTAGAATAAAATGTAGGGGAAAAACTATGGCATTGGTCTTAGCAATAATTTGAGGTACTTTGTTAAGTAAAGTTTCAGTTAAAATTTTTTTTCTTAAAAATAATCACTAAAAAGTTATCTATAAACCTCAAATAAAATAATTCTTGATTGGGGCTTTGTGGTTGTCTTAGCTCAGGCTGCATAACAGAATAACTGTAGACTAGGTGGCTTAAACAGACATTTATTTTCTCACAGTTCTGGACACTGGGAAGTCAAAGACCAAGGTGCAGCTGATTCAGTTCCTACTTGCAGATGGCTGCCTCCTCACCCTGTCCTCACAGGGCACAGAGAGAGCACTCTGGTGTCTCTTTTTCTTCTTATAAGGACACAAGCCCTCTAGGATTAGGGCCCCATCCTTATGGCCTCATTTAGCCTTTATCACCGCCTCACAGGTCCTTTCTCTAAATGCAGTCACATTGGGGATTAGGGCTCCAACATATGAATTTTGGGGTAAATAATATTCAGTCTGTAATACTAGTCTAATAAACATTTTTCAGGAAAATTAGCCTTTGCCATACCATTCCATTAAATATCTACTAAGCAAGTCAAGCTTACCCCTTCTCATTTCCAGTCCAGACATTAAACTCATACTATCATTTTCATCTTGAATTTCTTAATTGCCCAATGTTACTTGGGAGTGTCCCTGACAAGCCAGAAACAAATGTCGTATGTTTCTAGATATCACCTGATGTATTACTAATAAATAAGCCTGTACCCTTCACCTTTGTGCCAGGCTTTTGTTTATAAAAAAACCATCTGTGAAAACAAAGGGCAAAATGTTCCTGTTCTTAAAGATCTGTCCTCTGTGCAACTATATATGTTATGTAAGCTAACACGTGTGGTATCATTTAACTGTGTGATCTAGTAAAGTAGCTAAAATACCAGGTCCTCTTAAGGTATCCTACTTAAATGTGATATGCAGTTTTATGATTGCGAAAGACTGCCATCTGCACATATCACTGTAAAATGCTATTTTCTAACAGCCTCATCTCTATAGATGATGAGACAAAGTAAATGTTAAAATGATGAATTTTGAGAATCAGTATTTTCTTTGCTCCAGAAAAGCTATTTGAGCTACCAGGAACTTCTGAATGGGGAAATATCACTGGAATTAATTACAAACAAGTTTTATAACCTTGTAATATTAATAACAATGGGTAAAACATTTAATATTATAAAGAGAGAAAAAAAAATTTGTATGTAATCATCTAGTTCTACTTACTCTTCCTTTAAGTTCAAAGCAAGCCTCCCCTCCCCCACCACGGCAAAGCACCAAAACGGATTCCATTGTACAGCCAGCGGCATGGGCTACAACATACATGGGAGAGTTGGGCACAGGAAAATAAACAGCAATGTAAGTGGGACCCGAGGTCTCCAAGCTACACCCTGTGCCTGGAGACTTACGTCTAAAGGACTGTTTCTGCTCATTATATTCGGCTGGGGCCCCACCTAGGTTGTTGGGACCTCTAAGCCTTCCACGTTTCCTAGCAGGAAATTGTTCTTTCTCCTCAGTGAGGAATATCTAGAGAAAGATCAATAGTCTCCGCCCTCTCCCCAGATGTTATCACCCTGGAATTGTGGAGTGGGGTGGAGAAGGACAAGCAGCTGAAGTTATAAGAGCAATCTGGTTCCAGCATTTGCCACCTCATTGATTGCCAGAGCTGATTCAGTGATTGTCCCTCATCTCCCTTCCTCTCTCATCTCTCCCTTTGGGTTCTGCCCATGCCAATGACATAGGTGGAAGATTCCTTGCAAGATAAAGAATAATAAAAGTGAAAACAATAGCTGCTACCTAATGGAAAGGTACTAGCTGCCAGGCAATGTGGTAAATGCTTTCCAAACATTTTCTCTTCTAATCCTTATAAGGGCCCTAGAGCTAGGTACTGTAATTTCCTTTCAGAAACTGAAAGCCTGGAAAGGTACAGTAACTTGCCCAAGAGCATGCAACTGGAAAGTGGCAGAACCAAGGTTTAAAATTTAACCTGTGTTTTCTAAAGCCCAAATAATTGTCTTAACAGGAACATTTTTGGTAGATCTATATTGTCAACACGCCATTATTCTCAGTGTGTAGCAGAAGAGGCAGCTCCCAGGGTTCCCAGCAACATTCAGCAGGGTGGTTCCTATGGGAGCTCTTCATAGATGCTTTGGTTGGTAATGGGGACCACTGTTAATAGGGGATCCTAGCAGCTTCTCTGCTGGGGCCCTTGCTGTGTCTTACCTACTTCAGTCTTCGTAGGGGGCCAGTGCTGAGTATAAGGTCCTGAGGGCTAGGCTAGATGAGGGGAGCTATTTACTCAGGACGGTGGCAGGAATCTGGCTCAGGGAGAACCCACATCATGGTCAAGAAGACAAAATGTTTAAAGCAGGGAAGCAGAGTCTAGGATCAGGCCAAAAAGATGGGAAATGATCCTGAGAAGACAAATACTTACAAGGTCACTAGCCAGGAAATGTGGGAGCAGTCAGCCATGGGAGCTGGATGGAAGGTGCGTTGGGACCGCACTGTTACACAGTAATTCCTCTGAAACAGACAGTGTGGAGACCTGGAAGTAATGTGTTTATTGCTCAGTTTATCTGATATCTGTTTGCTTCTTGTTGGGAGCTGGTTCCATAGGAAGGGCTGGGCCTGCAGCGGACATGGCCCTGAGTAGTGCTAGCCACACACAGCTTCTGAATGCAACAGGCCAGCTGGTCATTACTCATACGGCTCCCCCATAAGGGACCGTATACAGCTGCATTATTGCTCCTCCACACCTGCCTTTTGATAAAAGCAACATGTACGTGCTCGAATTGTATAAGGGAAGCAAACATGTGGAACGATAGAACATCTCACTTAGTTCCATTCACTAAGCCTCTTCATAGACCCACTGATCCTCCCTTAAATCCAAATGAAATCTGAAACTCTATGAAGAAACCCACCACATGGGTTATAGCAGAGACTCTTTTATACCCCCACTGTTGTGTTCAAAATTAGAAAAATCAGGGAATTTGGCAAATTCCAAAATGAAGGGTCATATGAAAACCTAGTCCCAGAATTAGCCTTCACATATGTGACCTATAAGTTAATCAGAATGTTACTTTCAAAAAGTTAACACTTGAAGATCCATCCAGGTGAGGAAGGTAAAAGGTGTTCTTGTACTTTTTTAATGATTAATAGGAAGTTTCTTAAAAGAGACATAAACAGTGTCCATTCTCCCATGCTTTAGAATCAGACAGCTTGAGCTTAAAACTCGTTTATGAGCTGTGTGGCCTTGAACACGTTATTAAACATAGAGGCACTTCTCCGTGCCTCAGATTCCTCATGCTCAAATGGAAATGCAGTGCCTACTTCAAAGGGTTATTGTGAGGAGTCAATGAGATAATATATATAAAGCACAGTGTCTGACCCATGGAAAGTGCTCCAAAAGTTGTATTATTATTATCATGATTATCATTATTATAACTATCATCATACTTGGCTATGTTTATTCCCCTCAATTCATTGTAAATTCTGTCAGTAGGGAGTGGGCAAGTGTCTTGGGAGCATAGAGAAAGGGCATTTCATGAAGGTTCCATGGTGTAATGGTGAGCACTCTGGACTCTGAGAAAGGGCATTTCATAAAGCTTTGGGGCATCAGGGCAGCCTTTCAGGTGAAGGCCAAGTCCTCCAGGATGAAGAACTACTAGGCAGGGGACAGGAAGGTTGGGTAGTTAGGGGAACAGAAGGTTAGGTGGGGATAGCCTGTGACAAGGAGGTGGTGGTTTCAGTGAGGGCAGCATGAATACCGAGGGAAGAGGATTGCAAGCTGAAGCTGGGAAGACAATTAATTGTATTATAATTGAGCACAGATGGTTAAGCCTTTCAGTCTAGCCAAGAAATCTGGACTTCATCCTGAGCACAATAGTGAGTTACTGAAGGATTTTAAACTGAAGAATGATGTAGTCAAATTTGATTTTAAGAAGAATCACACTTGGTACAGCGTCGAAAATGGATTCAAGGGACTAATATAAAGGCTGTTATAATAATGGTCAGAGCTGATGAGTTAGTAGTGGAGATAGGGGGAAGTGGATACAGCAGAAATTAGTGAGTGAATAGGTGTAGTGGGGAAGGTAGGGGGAGAAGCCTAGGCTTAGGGGACTGATGCACAGGCACATAAAGGGCATGAATTGAACTCAAATATTTAGTGAGTTACTATGGATTTGGTATTTTCCAAAAAGGAATTCTGCACTTAGAAGACTATTTTTTGCGCAACGGTTCCTTTTTAAGGGATGTTGAGTTTAAAAATACCTATGTCATGTATCTGGTCAGTTAACAACAGTATTGAAAAGCTCAGGAAAAGAATATGAAATAAGTGTGGCTTTTTTTACTTTTGTCTATTTCAGTATTATCATTTTTTAATAGCAGGAATCATCTGTACATTTGATTCCTGCTAATTCCACTGTCAATTCCTAAACAGAAGCTAAACCCTTTGCTAAAACATCCACAGGCAAATGTTCACAGCAACATAATTCCTTCTCCTTCATTTTCAGTTTTGACGTGGACAATGGCACATCTGTGGGACGAAGTCCCTTGGATCCCATGACCAGCCCAGGATCTGGGCTAATTCTCCAAGCAAATTTTGTCCACAGTCAACGCCGGGAGTCCTTCCTGTATCGGTCCGACAGTGATTATGACCTCTCTCCAAAGTCTATGTCCCGGAACTCCTCCATTGCTAGTGATATGTAAGTATGAGGGTGGGCAAAAAGAAGAGGGAGGTCCTATAGAAAATCAAGTAAATTTAAATCTAGAGTTGATAATGTAATAAAACCAATGATTTTTGTTCAACTGCATCACTCTCCTCTAATCTAGAAAAAATAATAAAATTATACAAGTTATAAAAAATGAATGGTAGATTTAACTTGACTATACTGTCACTCTTGATAAAAAACGTTTGTTTTCCCAGAAAATACATTGCCTGGGAAAAGTGAGAATTAAATTTTTAGTGGAAAATAACACTTAAATCATTAGTTTAGATTTATGTAGGACCTGAGTTTTAGCTACCCAGCCACATGGATATTTTCTAATATTTTGAAAAGCTTTAAACTCACTTTGAAAATCTCTGTGATATTAGAGTGGATAGCATTTTGAATATATTTCAATTGATGTATGTAAAAGTGTTAGCATTGGTTTGCCAGATCATTTGAGAAATATTTGTGGGGTTTTGCTCAAATTAAAACAGTTTTTAAATATGAATCACTAGAGGCAAACACAAAAAACATTAGACAGACTTGAATATCATTTAAGACATGACACAGTTTGGAAAATAATTAAAACTGACAAGCAGGTTTGCAGATCATAGACCAGCGTTAGCTTATTTTCTCAGTGCATTCCATTCTCATGTTTACTATGGAGTTCCTATTCTTTTTATGTTCAAGAGGCTTCTAGATAGGTCCTTCCTCTCACTCAATACTACACTGCTGTTTGTGGTAACTCTGCCTCTGCATAGAATTGTCCTCCACTTTCTTCCTGTGGATCTATATATTTGTCCAATAACATTCACCACCTCTCCTGAAACCACCTCAAAAACTCATAAGAGATTGCAATTCATCTTATAGGAATTTGGTGGAAGGCTGCAGAAAATACTAGGCTAAGGGAACATTTGCTAAAGGTGAGGCATGGAAAATCATGACTCAGTTAAGGAATGACAGTCTGCTTGATGTGAATTGCAAAACATGGCAAGAGAGAAAGGAGATTTAAGTACAGTCTGTGGGACCCAAGAGACACAGAGGTTTTTTGGCTGGGGTTTGGCATGATCACATTCTTGTTTTTATTGCATTCTGATTACTCTATTGTTGAATGATTGCATAATGAAGTGACTGTAGGGAAGTGGTTCATGTCCAAATTCACAGAAACAAAGCAGGCTAAATGTGACGATGATCTAGATCAAGGAAGTGGCTGCAGAAGGAAGAGGTTGGTTGAGTGGCAAGGGCCTAACAGAATGGTGTGTGTGTGTTTGTGTGTGTGTGTGTGTGTGTGTGTGTGGTGAGGGGGTGGGGTCGGGGAGGACAGCCAATGGGGAAGGAGAATCAAAGAGAATGCTAATGTTTTGACCCTGAATGAGTAAATAAATGGTGATGTTAACAGGAGGAACAAAGAACAGAGAGTGGACAACACAAGGGCAGATATTAGGTAATGAATTTGACTTTTACACGATGAGGCTGGGGAAATGAGACAACAGTTAAAGTACAAGGACAGAGAGCAGAAATAACAGTCCAGAGGACCTGGAGAAATTAGAAGAACCAATTACTTTTTACAACGACTGGGTCTTTGAGTGACAACCGAGTGGAGCCTCTTATTCAGGTAACAGGATTAAGCGCCCAGTGTGTTGAGGAGTGAATTGAAAGCAGAGACATGAGCTAGTACGCACATCTCTTTAGAAGGTTGATGAGTAAAAGCGGAGAGAGCAAACTAAGGCTCCTTGGGGGAGAATTAAGTTCAAGGGAAAAGTATCTTGAATTCAGGATCCTTGAGCTGAGGAAGATAGAATGAGACTAAAAACTCAAGAAAAAAAAAGGGTTAAAGATGAATCTGTAGTTGCTGACAAAAAATGTGATCATGAGCTCAAGTAAAGAGACTATCCTTGGAAAAATAGTAAAGAAAAGTATTGTATTATTTAGGAAGAACAAAGAAGAAAGAACTAAGTGGAAAAAGGAAATATAAATTTGGAGATGGAAGGGTAAGATGTTTGAGAATTGAGGGTAATAATCCCTACTTTTTCATTAAAGTAGAAAGTACAGTCATCAATAACCAAAGGAGAAGAGGGATGGGGCAGCTGGAGAAGAAAGGGAAGGCTTGAAAAAGCCACTACGCAGATCAAAAAAGGGAATAGAATAGAGGTGAGCAAAATACTGAACAGCCCCATAGAGAATGACAAATAATATTGAATGAGTGAAGGACCAAGTTGAAAGTCATTTAATTCAACTTCATCAAAGGTGAAACAACTTTGGTGTAGATAGAGACAAGGGAAAAACTCACGGAGAGTTAGTAGATTCTATTTATACAGTTACGTATTCTATTTTTCAATTGTAAATTGATTGTAGGGTACCAGTGTATAGACTGTTTCTTTCATATCCTTTACTCAAGTTATTAAATACTAAATATACACATGTATTTTATGAAAAGCCTACATTTCATATTGAAATAGTACTTTTATTTCCGAACAAACTTACAAAGATGACCTCAGTTTGCTCTGTACCTCAAGAATTTCTTTATCTGATTAGACTCACATAGGAATGATGAGTTCAATCAGACCATGATGCAACTGCATATATTGTAGAAAAATAATATGTTGACATGTTTAGCTTTTCCATTCCTCCTGGGTATTTACATTTGAGCAATAAAGGTTTCCATTGACAATGACTGACTCCTGGAAGGCATTCTTTCTACCAGAGAGATTAAGCCACTGTGGGAAGAAAGGTAAATAGAATAAATAATTACTCTTTCAATATTCAATCTGATACTGCAGATATCTTCTACCGTAAAGGATTATGCCTGCTCTTCCTTTGACTTCTCATGTGGCCACGTGCAAACCTCGATTTTCTTACCTTACCTAGTTCATGATAATGCTATGAGGATTGTCCAAAGTCTATGCTTTGTAGGGAATGACATTACTGCATATTTTCATCAATTGATGATTTTATACTTATCATTCTAGTTGAGCTTTCCTACTGAGAAAATCCCTTAGAAATTTCGAATACAAATAGCACCAAATGAAAGTTTGTAATTATCTATTTGAATGAACTGTTCTAGAAAACCTTTAAATGCTCTTTAAGTAGTATATAATTGTTTCATATATTGGGAAACTGAGAAGGAGAATAATCACTTCTTAGTAGATAGGATGTCATCATCTTATCTTCTATAAATACATACCAGTGAAATAGCTGAGGCACAAGAAAAAACTAAGACCAGTAAAGGTAGCAATAATAGCACACATTATATGTGTATATCACCCTTATTTTTCCAAGTATTTTTACAGCAACTATCACATTTTATACTTTCACAGTTCTTTTGCTAAGGGATTATTATTCCATTTTACAGATTATGGAACCAAGATCCAATGAGCTTAATCTTTTTTAAAAGCATAAAAAACATTTTGATCATTCTAGAAAAACATTATTTTGATAATGCCATTGTAAACAAAGCACTGTGTACTACTGCAGCAAAAACTGCTGAGAAACAGAAGTACTTGTTGACCAAACCCATTAGACCAAATGAATTACTTAGCACTATAAAAAGTTGGTTAAGAATAAAATAAGATAAAAGATCAGACAAGTAACAAAGCAAAAATGCAACCAACTCTTAGAAAATATATACAAGTCTATAAGACTAGGCTAACCTCACAACCTAAAAAATTAGCTTTTGTAAGGCAGAAGAGAAGTTCCTGGCAGCTTCTGTCAGAGACCATCACGGTTTGTTAGATATAGATGAAACAGCATCAACTTAATTCTTAAGAAAAATAAGAAAGAAAATGTTAAGTATTAGCATGAGTACAGTAAATACTAATAAATACATGAAAAATAAATTTAAACTACCATTAATAGTAAAAAAAATTTTTATAACAGTAGAGAAACTAGATAACAGAAGGTTGCCCAAGTGATGTCATAAAGAAACATGAAGAAAATTACAGAATAAACATAATTACATTTTTATCTCTTAAATTTTCAGCTTTTGAATAACAGTTACTTGTTGCACATCGTCTAATAATATAGTGTGTATATTTGGAGACATACGAAGATATGAAACATTGCAAAGATTAAAGGGAGAATTAGCAGTACAAGAAAAATAGAGTTTAGTAATAAAACTAAGAATTTATTGAATATAAGCTACTTGTCAAACCACTTAGGTTTTTAGAAAAATATGATAACTAACCCTCTCTTTCCCATCCTTTGTTGAATGAACACTAACATATAGACTCCAGAGATGATCCAAGCAGCTCTTTACTCATATTGACATACTTTACACATACATACAGAATATGGGGAAGGGGGGCTGGGCACGGTGGCTCACGCCTGTAATCCTAGCACTCTGGAGGCCAAGGTGGGTGGATTGCTCAAGGTCAAGAGTTTGAGACCAGCCTGAGCAAGAGCGAGGCCCCATCTCTGCTAAAAAATAGAAAGAAATGATCTGGACAACTGAAAATATATACATAGAAAAAATTAGCCAGGCATGGTGGTGCATGCATACCTGTAGTCCCAGATACTCGGGAGGCTGAGGCAGAAGGATCGCTTGAGCCCAGGAGTTTGAGGTTGCTGTGAGCTAGGCTGACGCCACGGCACTCTAGCCTGGGCAACAGAGCCAGACTCTGTCTCAAAATAAAAGAATATGGGGTAGGGGGGATATGTGCAGAAGGGGCTATGAGGAGGAGTGAGTACACTCAATATATCATAAAAAGCTGGGGCACACCTGGGGGTCTAGCTCACTTGTCCCCATGTACCATACAGACATTTAGGACCTTATCGATCAGGCCTTTGGAGTGCCCCATGGGGACATCCTCTCAGCTAGTGGACAATATCCCTCACACCCATTTCAAACTGCTACACTTTCTTTAGCAGCTAGCAAGTCCCTCACCACCTCTTGGGCCTCTAACGTGGGTTTTCAGTCATAGCCATTCCTCCCCACTTCTTTTGCCTACTGAGTAAAGGGGCGATATTGCATCTAGGCCTGACCTTGAAAAAGGAAGAAG